TAATACGGGAAAGGGTGTTTCTTCGTGGTTTAATGAAAAACCACAAGAGAAGTTGAACTGGACAAGTTTATCCCTCACAGGTCCCGAAGCCACATGATGGGGAGGTCAAGGCTGACCACAGGCAGAGAGAGAGAGTCATGGCGGGAGGCCTTTATCGTGGGCCATGAGTGAAATGCTTTGGGGCTCTGGGCCAAGGGCTGGATTGGTCCCTTCAAACCAGAAAGAGTGGGGTTTTGGTAAGCTCCACAGGGGCTTATCTAAGGGGAGGGGACAGAAGGGGAAGGCCCTCGGAGGCGGGGGAGATTGCTGCTCAGGCAGGCTGCTGGGGAAATCTTACCAGGAACCTACGTTTGCTCGTAATTCTGCAGGCCATTGTCAAGGGTGTGCACTTGCCCATGAACGCTAACGTTAGTTCAAGACGCCCCTCAGGCTGCTTGGCGAAACAAGATGGATACTGAGGCTGCAATCCCCTGGAGTAGCTTAGCTTAACTCTTCACGTTCTCACACACCAGAGTTGGGGGGGCAGGCAGAGTTTTTGGCCGTAGCATTTGTCCAGTAGCACAGGACTCAGGTAAAGTTCAACATGGTCAACATCATTCCGATTGTCAGGTGCTTGGTGCTGTCACTGACAGCATCCCAGTTCAATTATCTCTGGCCTCTCTGGGCTCTGGGCTCCACGTGTTCATGGAGACAGGAGGCCCCGCGCTAGACCATGAAGCCTTAGAAAAATTCAACGAGGGGCGCCTGAGTGGCTCAGCAGGGTAAGCGTCTGATCTTGCTCAGGTCTCAGGGCCCCCATGTTGCGTCTGACTCCGCGCTCAGCCGGGAGTCAGCTTGTCTCTCTGCCCCCCGCCCCAGGCTTATGCGCTCTCTCTCTCAAATAAAGAAAGAAAATCTTAAAAAAGAAAAAAAGGAAGAAAAGGAAAATCCATTGACATTATGATGTCAGCAAATTCATTCTGCCAGGTTTGAGTACCAGCTGATGGGGATTAGGTCTGCCAGTGACTTACCAACCCTGCATGAGGGTCTGTAAGCCTCAATCATCTTGCACCTCTGGAAGCCACGTCTTCCTTATGAACTCCTGCCTGTACGTATGTAATTTAAACTATTTTTTCTCTTGTTCACCTGGCTCTGATCAGTTGGATTCATGGGCCCAGCCACTGAATGCAGGAGGTTAGAGGGAGAAAGATTTTTGCTCCCCTGCACTATATAAGCTCTACTTCCATTCATCCCTTTAAGTGATGCATCCCTGAGCTCCCCCAGGTGTATGGGTGGATGTCCCAGTTAACAAACAGCTGTTTTTCTCTTGCCAATCTTTCTTTTGTCAGCCTAATTGGCAGGGCCCCTGCTGGACAACCTGGGAGTGTAGGTGAAAAAGATTTGTTTTCCTCCCTTACACTATCATAAAACTTAGCGGCGATTCTGCCGGCCTGCGTAGGATGTGAGTCCTTTTAGCATGTTGGCGAACCCCAGGGGGGTCGTGGGTCCCCTCACTCTGTGCTTGAAGGACCCCCACCCACCCAAACACAGTGAAAGCACAGTTTGGGAAAAGGAAGGATAAAGGGGTAGGTATCTGTGGCATGTGAACACCAACGGGATGAACTGCAGGAAAGGGTTAACGTATCAGGCCTTAGACTACGATCCTTAGAAAGGCCTGCTTGCAAGATTTGCCCTTGGCTGGCATCTGGGAGCTGGGATTTTGGGAATGTTCCCCCCATTCCCTAACCGATTAGTTTGGTTTACTGTGCCCACGATGTTTGTGCAAACCATGTGGTTAATGCTGACACCTGCTTTCCTCCTGGGAGTCTGGAATTTTGATATGTGCTAAGCAGGGGGTGCCCGTGTGACGAGTCCCCAGTAAAATCCTTGGGCACTGGGGCTCCAACTAGCTTCAGACGTGTGGTCGCATTTGATGCTGGAGGAATTAAGCACATCCTGTAGGATTCTACTGGGACAGAACTCTGGGGAATTTGTGCCTAGGTTTCTCTCGCCTTCATCCCATGCACTCTTTCCCTGTGCTGAGTTTGCTGTTGTTGTAATAAGTCTAATGCTTGAGCAGGATGGTATGTTGAGTCCTGTGAGTCCTTCTAGTGAATCACCAGACCCAGGTGGGTGTCTTAGGGACCCCTGATGCCAACTTCCTGGGATTCTCATTGGAAAACACAATGTAGCAGCCTATTAGGGAATGGTAACTCCATCCAGTAGAGCAAAGGAGAGAGAAGACAGGCCACGACTTGCTGAGTGTGGCTCTCTCCACCCTTCCCAGTTTCCTATGTGAATGAATTGAAAATGAACTGCAGAGGAAAATCTTAAAGTCCGAGTCTAGTATACACTGAGAGTTTAAGAGATCTTTGCTGTCCGGGCCTGACTTTTACAAAATGGAGCTCCCCGTGTCAGCTGCTGGTGGTTCTGGAGGGGCTGTTTCAGCCCTACACAGACATAATTCTAAATTTCTTTGCATGTAGCTTGAGGAGCATTACCACTCTCACGGTCCTGTGAATTTGCTGTATCAGGATGCATTTAAAAACCTGACACTAGATTGCAAAACACAGTGGGAAGGAGGAGTGAGATGGAAAGCCAGAATGCTCAGGAATCACACACAAGAGTCAATGTGAGGGAGGGGAGTTTGGATTCAGTGGAGAAAATGACAGGAAAAGATTCTAGTAGAAATCCACAAATCGGGGCTCTGAGCCGCCCTTGCAGTACAGCCTGAAACCTCTTGGCTTGTGCCAGCAAAATCAGGACATAGCACATCAGAATGCACAGAAATGCATGGGAGCAGGGTGGTTTGGTTTCATACGGTTATGGGCTTGAGTGCCAGTCATACCCTTCCCTAGCTGTGCGGCCTCGGACAAGTTAGCAAAACTTTCTGAGCCTCGTACCTTCCACACTGGTTTTTAGATGCTAGCAATGCGCTTAGCACAGATCCTAGTTCAGAGGCCAGCACATAAACCTGCTGTTGTTTTATTGTTACTGTTTTGTAGCTTGGGCACTTACTGTTTCATCTTCCCAGCACCCTCTCCTAGGATTCAGAGAAGTTGTCTTGGAAGATGTGACTCTGAGCTGGTGATAATGGCAGTGTCAAATTCTCAGGGGAGACAGTGTGTTCCTACATTCCTCAAAAGTTTTTGAGAGCCTCGTTCATTCCAGGCACTATGGGGATGGGCATATAGTTGTGAGCAGAGGAATTAGAGTCCCTGCTTCTCTGGAGCTGGTAAGCTTGAGGGGAGGAGTCCATGGTTTCCCCTGGGGAGACTGATCCCCCCCCACCCCCCCGCTCCTCCAGTCGTCTGTTTTGTGGACAGCCCTGGAATCTGCTGGGACATGCTGTGTGACCACCAGCCGAGCCTGCCCCACAGCCTAGGTGGTAAAATGGCATCAGTCTCCGAGCTCTAAGTCCCCACCAGGTTACTAGTTGGGTAAGGTTGGATATGGCCCCAGGGAATAAGGAGGAGTGGATGTCTGTGAAAACCAGCAATTTATGTTACTCCCCTCTGGGTCTCCGGAGGCAGAGTTGTGCGAGGTCAGGGTCACACACCAGGAAGTGCAGATTGAGGGTATTCCCTCAGACAATGGTAGATTGTAGATGCAGAGGCATCTTTTCAATAAAATTGTCTGGGCAGCAAAATAAATCACAGCATACGTGTGTAGGTTAGGACCAGTCAACAGCAATTCTGGGATCGTCAATGCCGTCTGGAAGGTGGATGGGACTCTGAGCGTGGAGGGACAGCCTGGGTGGTGTCCAGAATCCTTCTAGGAGTCATCTATGTATAATTCCTGGGGATGGGACCAGGTACCCCTGTTGGGGAAACCTCCAATCTCCCTGATCACCACTCTACTATTTAAAATCTGTGTCCTTGAGCACGTGTGTTTGCATACGGTAGGCCATTCCTCACCTACATGGCGCCCCCCCCCCACTGTCGCTGTAGCCAGTCCCCACCTTGCCCCCAACCCCACGCTCCTCCACGCTCTCAATGTTGGTTTCATATATTCATATTCCATGGACCCAGCAACTCCCCTGGAACTGGACACAAGAGACAGTGCTGCTGTAGGCCAAGGCTGGCCAGGAGTCAGCAAGTGACTGCTGGGCACTCGGCTGCTCCCCCAGCCTTGCTGGAGCCAGCAGATAATTCAGGGCTGGGGGGCACCATCACCGAAGGCTGCTGCTTTTTTTTCCCATTTTTTTAAGATTTTATTTATTTGCGAGAGAGAGAATGAGAGACAGAGAGCATGAGAGGGAGGAGGGTCAGAGGGAGAAGCAGACTCCCTACCGAGCAGGGAGCCCGATGCGGGACTTGATCCCGGGACTCCAGGATCATGACCTGAGCTGAAGGCAGCCGCTTAACCAACTGAGCCACCCAGGCGCCCAGTCTGCTGCTTTTATAGCCAATGTTGCTTATGAAGCACCTTCCCAGAACTCCCCTTCTGCATGAGGAAAGAGTCAAGTTTCTGACCCTCTACTCACAAAGGAGTTGGGAATGCCAGGCCCTCTGTCTTGTCTGGGAACTGGCATATAACAGTCTTCCTCTGTACACAGACAATCAGATGAAACCACTAGGACAGCATATGAATGCAGGCCTTGGAGTGGGGCGAGGAGAGGTGGATAGTTGCTGCATGGTGGACAGCACTGTGGGTTTCCCCAGCGGGGAGATGAATACTTGAATATTTTCATTCGCTCAGGAGGGTGAAGACCTTTGTCTCCAGCCAGCCTCGTACTGGTGTCCCCTACACACGGTCAGGGAGGCCACTGCCCAGGTATTTCTGGGTGCACAGCCACTCTGCTCAGTAGCAGCAGCTGCTGACTGGGCCCTGGGCTCAGCCGAGGCCCTGGCCTGGAACGGAAGTCAAGGGCAGGCCGGTTCCACCTTGGAGCTACCATGGGCACATCGAGAATGGTACGGTACGGCTGTATCATTACCCACTGTTCCTAGACAGTGTCCCGGAGAGAAACTTGGGGAATGAGTATTACCCTTAGTCACACATGCAAACCACACACTTTCTTCAATCCTGAGTCGCAATTTTAAAATTTATTGTAGCATCACTATCCAGAACACATATTTACTGGAGTGTCGCACTCGAGAATATATATAAACACATGGCTGAAGCCAAGAGGAAGACATAAGGAATATTCCAGGGTTAGTTCAAAGGTGGTCTTTCAGGGGCTCCAGAAGGCTAGATAGCAAAGGGGCAGAGTCCGGGAGAGCTGTTGGCAGGCGGTGGCCAGCTAAGAGTCTCAGTAAGGACAGAGATGGGGGAGATCTGATGAATGGAGGGCAAACTAAGAATGAGTCAGCGTCACGCAGGCCCGAAGCCCTGTGTCCACGGGTAATTTTGCTGTAAGGCCCACAGGCTAGAGGGGTGTGCGCGGCTGGGATGGAAAGGGGAGACAGATACGAGGAAGCAACTCTACAAAAATGTACCCTAAAGCAGTCCCGGGGTGTCGCGGGTTCCCTGACTGTGCTCCCATCCCTCCTCTGTGTTTCAGCTCAGGGTTCCGGGAACTCTGGGAGTGGGGTTGTGTGGGCCCCGGCCCACTGCCTCACTGCCTTCTTCAAGCTCAGCCAGTGGCAGGAGAAGGCTGCCTATGCCTGTGGGGCTGTTCCTTAGGAGGTAGCCCAGCTCCTTCTCGTAACATTCGGCTGCCTGCAGCAGCTCTCCATTCAGCTTGTGGATTAATCCTTGGAGATACCAAGAATTTGGTGCATTTTGTGGAAGCTGATTTCCAGCGGTGTTCTGTGGTGGGTATTCCGTCTTTCCTTCCTCTGTTGCTTTTGTGCTTGTGGGCAAACCCTCCAAATTACATTGGGTAGCAGTGTCTTTAGACTTCCCGTGACGCCCCTGAAAGTCGCGATAGTGCTGGTGGGGTTGTTGCCTCTGAGTGCCGGGGAGCTCCTTACTGCAAGCTATCTGATAATAGTCTTCTGTTTCCAGGAGCTCATTAGAATATGCATACAGCGGATCTATTCCCTTCTCAATAGCTTTAATCACATAGTCAACAGCACACTGCTTTAGTTCTCCAATCTTCTCTCCATTCCTACTAGCTTCAGATTCTCCCATATCCTGAATTTGTTTGATTTTGGCCCTATAGCAGCACGCAATCTGGTGATAGAGGTAACCATTGTTTGGAATGGATTTCGATGCCCTTAGAAACAGTTCAATAGCTTTGTCTAGATCACCTTTTTTTTGATAAAATGTGGCTGCATTGCGAAGGACATCTGGTTGGCAAGGCGTGTTCTCCAGGGCTTCCAGAACCAACTGCTCCCCGTCAGCTTCTTCATTCATCGTCTGCAATTTCAGGGCCAAGAGCACTTTGATGTATTGATTGTCGGGATTCAGCTCAAGGGCCTGCTTCAGAGCATCCATGGAGAGTGGCTTCTGTGGTTTATTATCCAGACAGTATGTCGCGATGGCCAGCCCAGAAGAGAATTCTGGGTTGTTGGGCTTCTCCTCCAGAGCTTTCTCAAAACACACCTTGGCCCTTTCATTGTGCTTTGCCCCACACTTCAGCCGTGTCCACCCTTCTTCGCAGTCAAGCTCGGGACACTCGATACTGTATGGGTTTGAAAACTTCTCGCAGGTTCGTCTCACCTTGTCGACGTACATCTGAGCGTCTGCATGTCTGCCCAGGTGATAGTAGACCCAGGCGTAGTTACCCCAGGTGACCAGACTTCGGGTTTCCGCTTGATCCGGGTGCTCCCGCTGGATCAGCTCCTCCGCCTGGCGCAGGCGCTCCAGCGCTGCCTCGCTGTGGCCATTCAGGTGGTTTACATAGGCCAAGAAATTGTACATGGTAGCTTTGGACCCCATGTTTAAGAATTCAATCTGGTGACACACTGTATCTTCTAGATCACCTGAGACACTGTCTTTCTTAAGTAAGTTCCAGGTGAAATGGCATTTCAGCTGTGGAAGGATTTTCTCCAGAGAATCCTTGTTGACCTCACTGTGGAGAAAATAAACCCGGTCACTGTGATGGCGCGACTGCTAAGCATTGCACCTGGGACGCAGTTACAGGTTGGTTTTGTGTGTCGGCTTGCCAGGCTGTGGGACCCCCGATGTCTAGTTAAACATTAGTTCTGGGGGGGGGTGTGTGTGATGGTGTCCCCAGGAGAGATTAGCAGCTGACTCAGTGGACTGAATGAAAGCAGACCGCCCTCCCCCGTGTGGATGGGCCTCACCGCGTCTGCTGAGGGCCTGAGTAGAACCCAAAGGCAGAGGAAGTGTGAATTCCGTCTGTCTGGCCGTGTGAGCTGGACATTGGTCTTCTCCTCTCCTTAGACTGGAGCTTACACCGTCGGCATTCCTGGTTCTCAGGCCTTCAGACTTGGACGGGAGCCCTATGGCATTATCCCTCCAGTTCTCGGGCCTTTGGACTCTGACTAGATTTACACTGTTGGCTCTCTCCTGGGTCTGTAGCTTGTGGACAGCAGGCCACGATTATGATCCTCGGCTTCCATAATCATGTGAGCCAATTCTTTTTTTTTTTTTTTTTAAGATTTTATTTATTTATTTGACAGAGACAGACACAGC